AATAAAGCCCTATTCCGGAGGATCTCTTATTCCTACTTGCGGCCATGAAAATGCAAATGCTGCGGGGGATATTTAAATCCCCCGCGCATTTGCCTCTTCCAAAGTTCTACATTTGCATCCCTATTCCGTAATAGGGGCCAATGTAGACGTAGCCTATGTGTACACTTAAGACAAAGGACCACATCCAGGTACAATTTTTACCTCTTTCTGTGCCTCTCAACTCCAGCGGGTCAAGCCAGGGCCGGTCCCTCAATTCCTAGGAAAGACGAATATGAGGTGGGCGTCCCTGTGGAACCTTGGGAGGTCAAACACCTAACCCCACCAGTAGATAGATGGTAGATTGACACTCAGAGTAAATGTGCTGCTGGACCCATCTTTATACCCCTGAGGGCCCGTATCGTCTTTCTTATCTTAAGATGCCAAATTGTACTGTTCCGTTTTGTGGCGCCAGTTCTTACAAGCAAGTTTCATCTTAATTTACACTTGCAAGAGTGATAACTAAATTGTGAGTACTAGACATTTTTTTACTGGGCGAGAGATTCCTCCCCCCGTGGACAGCTGTGTGTTCGTATAAATATGGGTTTTAGTCAAGGGCACTCCTCAGCAGCCTCTTGGTCAGCAATTGGCATATCTCTGTTTACAGCCATTCATGGTCACAGCATCCTGCATATCCTGAGCCTCCTGCTCCAAGGTTTTTACTGCTCTGTGTGCCCTGCATGCTATAGGCAAGCAAAAATGGATGTTACAGGGGGGTTCCTGTCTGGCTACAATGCACTTTTGCAGTGTAGACACGCTTTTTCAGAAGAAGTTTTTGCAGAAGATCTCTTCCAAAAAAAGCTTAATCTGAAATACATCTGTAGTCTAAATGTAGCTTGAATGTGCAGTGTATTGTGTGGGGTAAGGGATTCATATGTGGTTGTGACTGTTCCTATCTTTCTCCTATTTGCTCTTTGGTTTTCAGTTGGACCTAATCAGGCTGCTATGTTTGGATTCCAAGATGCTACACCTGTTTGCTTCTCCCTTGGTCAAAGTAAACTGCAGCACAGTCTCTTTCTTTGGCTGTTATGGTACCCCTCCTAGGCACAGGGTTTTGTTTGTTAACCTTTCATAGAAATGGTACTTCATGGCCCCAGGACTAGAGCTCAATTCCCAGAGGGTATGTCTACACTACAGCGTTATTTTGAAATATCTTATTTTGAAATAGTTAATTCAAAATAAGTTATTTCAAAATAACGCATCTACATACAAAATGCATTTCGAAATAGCGTTACACTGAGTGGACGCTGAATCACATTTAAGGACAGCCAGAACCAGGTACGGCAGGGCATTAGGTCAGGAGGTACTTTGTGTGGCTGCTGCCTGAGGCTATCTAAGGCCTATGCTTAAAGGGACCTCCCCCCCATGACAGCCGGTTCTCAGCTTTCCTTGCTTGCTTGCCTACCTCGATGAGGGACAGCAAAGCATTTTGTCTCTGCGTATTCTGGTTGCCCTCACTCGGGACACCACAGCACTCTGCAACATGGAGCCGGAGCTGCTCCTGGGCACTCTGGTGCTTCTCTTGGACGCGTTACTGTGAGCCTGGCTGCACTTTCTGCAGACTGCAATCCGGGAGGTCCATTGGGGAGCTGTCAGTATCCAGGAGGCCCTGCGGGAGAGCTTCCATCCTGAGGAGCACTAAAAGCCTCCCTGGTTTTCCCCACTGGGGGCTTGTGCCTCATTCCTCCCTCACGTCCTTCCACTTACCCCTTCCTAGCCCCCCCTTCCTGATGTCAAATAAAATACACGTATTTTCCTGAACACAAACTCTCTTTATTTAACAAAACTGGGGGGGGGGGATGAAACTCTGGTGAAACTGGTGAAAGGAGGCGGGAGATGGGAGAAGAGAGTGTGGAAGATAGGAGGGGGAAACCTGGGAGGAGGGATCTGGAAGGGGGAAGCAAGGGGAAGAGGGAGGGGAAGCTCAGGGTTGGAGGTCTTGCCAGACCAACTTGATCTTCATGCAAACCTGCTCCTGGGTTCACATGAGGACTTTGGTGGCCAGGCTGGCAGCAATCCTGCCATAGAA